CCCATGGGATGCGCAAGGACCTCTCCCCAGCCTCGCCATCGCTGCCCGGGCTGGGAGTTTGGGGACATGGCCAAGCTCACCTGGATGACAAACGGGTCTGGCTGGCTCTGCAGCTCTTCATCCCTGCACACGGTCACGGGTCCTCCCTTGGTGATGCTGCCACCCACAAAGACCTGCAAGAGAGCCAAGGTCAGCGAGGAGGGGCTGATCCCAACTGTCCCCATCAGGCAGAGGAAGAGCATGGGGATGTGACCAGGAGCCTGCTGCTGCCTCACCTGCCCCACCAGCTTGGGCTCGCGGGTGTTGGAGATGTCGTACTGGCGGATGTTCCCACGCCGCCCGGTGCATGTCCCCGTGCAGCCAGTTGCTGAAATACAGGAACCTGTCGTCCAGCGAGATGAGGATGTCGGTGATGAAGCCTTGGGGAGGGTACGACAGAGCTGCACAAGCGGGTGGCAGCACCAGCAGCGCCCCGGGGAGCCGGGGAGCACCGCGGCGCCCAGCCCGGGATGCACTGACCTGGCATGTCCGGGAGGAGCCATCCCTCCACCTTTTTGCTGGGGACTTGGATCACCTTCTCGGCCGCCCAGTCTCCGTGCTGCGGGAGGTGTGGGACAGACCACGGCCCCAGGGGGCTCAGCGTGCGTGGCAGAGGCAGGATGATACCCAACCCTCTCCACACCCTCTAGTGTCTGGGTCTGTAGAGCTCCTTTGGAGCCATCTCTGGCTCTGCAGAGCCATGGGGAAGATGGGCTCTGCAACCCGAGGATGGGCTTTGAGGGGGCCAAAACCTTGTCTCATTTTCCACTTAGATTAGCTGGTTTGGTGGAAGATAATTCTCTCTCCTCACCCACTTTGTCATTACACACCACAACAGACACCAAGAAGAATATTGCTTGGGCCGTTGTAAATCCACAACAAAGGTAGAAATAAATCATCTCATTTAAATTAAACCATCTCAGCCTAAGCTGCAGCCAGTCAGAACAAGTCCTCTGGTGAGACTACCCTGAGCCAGCTCCTATCTGGGTGCACAGGGAGGCAGCGTGTGCCTCGGTGGGGACTGGAGCCGGCTGAGAGGACGATGGGGAATGCGGGAAGCGGGATGCTGCAGACTTCTGCAGCTCGGTCTACCAAGAGTCAGGCCTCTTTTCCTCCGACCCCGTGGTGTCCCCAGGGAGCACCTTGGTCTTGTAGAAGCGGTGGATGGCGCTGCTGATGGTGCAGCCCACGTAGCCCTCGGCGGCGTCGGGGTTGTGCAGGAAGCGGATCTCCAGGGGCGCCGCGTCCTCACCCACGTCAATGGCCTGGATGTAGGTGCGAGTGGTCCAGTCCCACACGTTGAGGTGGCGTCCGTAGCGCCCTGGG